AAATATATATTAGAACTTTAACTTTAGTGTTTTTCCTCATCAGCAGAGCAGCTTTTATCCAGTCACTGTGCTCTCAGATCTACTATCTGAAACTGATCCATTAAAATATGTTGTTTCCATACGATTAACCAAACTGAAAAGCAATTCACGGGCTCTTTGGTATTAGAAAAGGCAAATGATTTGGTGATATATAACTTAAACATGACAAAAAGATACATAACATATTCAGCCAAATTAGTTAACACTGCAGAAACAAAGAAACAAAAAAACAAGTCAAATATTTCAAACTGTTTTGGTCTTATTCCATTGAAGCCACATTTACTTGATGACTCCAGACCAAAAAAATGCTTATTTTGAGATATTACATGGTACAACTAAGACATAATTGTTTTAAATTTGCAATACACAAGATTAAAACGTTCTTTTTAAGTTTCTTGGAATAAGAAAATACCTTTTGGACCTGTCAAGTGAATGTGGCCTGATAAGACATTTTTTAATTACAAAAATAAGTCAATAAACCCTTGAAAAAAAAAAGAGTTTTCAGAACAAATCAGCAGGTTTAAGTGTCAGATTAGGTTTATTAAATGCAAATGGGTGATTTAAAACAGCCTAATATGTATATGTATAAAAATAATTAACCCCCCAAAATTCCAAACATGTACGGTAAGTGAGAGTTCACTAACCTGCATGGTTGTGACTCATCACTAGAATAAGTCAGTGAGACAAAGCTGGTTTATAAGTAAGAATACAGCTTCATTATATTAATGCATAAGTCTCTGGGTGCCAGGTCAAGAAATAAATTAGTCACATTCAGACCAGTGTGCAAAACACAATCCCTGTCTCCTACTGATATGTTGGGCCTCTACCTCTCCATAAAGAGAAGGGTTACCCACTGACTCCTCTGACCCATCACTCACCTCAGGATTTGGCTTAGAGTTAAGCCCACGCAGATACTTAAATTTTTATCTAGCATACCACTGGTGTTTGTGTTCCACCAGGAATCAGAAGAAGAAAGTAAAACCTCTTTCTCTTGATTCCCCTTCCCTATAATAACTATAACTTCCCCTTCTTAGATGGTGGTCTTTAGCTTTTAATGGGTCTGGGGATGATTGCGGACCAGCAGGATTGTACCGTGGTGATTGACTGCCATTTATAGACATACACACGTGTCCACAATAACCCGAGATTTCCTCTGCCTTAATGAATCCAGTGCAGGTTAGGATTTCTATGTGCGAATCTACACACACATTTACTAACGTTTCAAGACTGCTGCCAAGTGCTGTGATGCATGGAGGCTTATTTGGAAGCCAATCAGTCTGGCCGCTGTTTGTGTTAATAACTTGTTATGATGGGTCATTCCTCAGTCAATGAGACATGATGCACCGTTGCGTTTACTTGTTCTGTCTTGATTTATTGTGCGACGGTTGGTTTGAGCGGCTGGGGTTGATGCTGCTCTGTTGTTTTCTTGTTAACACCAGGCCAGTGCACCCATCAGACTACAAAGCACACAACACGTCTCACCAAATCAAAACATTCACAAGACCTCCTGTATTCAACTTGTCACAAAGATACAAACTATAAAGCTGAAAAAATGTGCTGCAACATATGACTTGTGACATTTTAACCTCCGTACATCAGTGCGGGGGATTGTGTTGTTTGCTCTTGAAAAACAGCGATTACCCCTGACATCTTTCCTCAAACACCTGATTTTCACGACCCTTTTTCCCGTCATCCTGCTGTGTTGTCAGTGCAACATGGCAGCCCTGCAGCAATGTGTGCACAGCGGCGCGGGGAGAGACCTTCAACCTCAAATACGAGATCACAAACCTGAGTTCCCGCTGAGCCTGAGCATTAAAAAAATATAAATATATAAGGAGTGGTGTGCTGGGAGGGAATTCAGCAGAAGATGTGACAACAGCTGGCAACTCTAAAGGCAGACAGCGGCTGTGTGTGTCAACTCTGAGGCTAATGTCAAGATTTGCCTGATGTCTCATTACAGGGAAAGGTCAGGGAGTCAAATCCTGCTCTGAAAAACAGACAACAACATAAAGCACAAGAGTTACACACAGAAAACTGAAGAACATTCAACAAATGTGATTTATCTGAGCTGGCAGTGAGATACGCGTTTTGTCGATTATTATTTGAGAGAAGGGGGGGTCACATTTTTTCAGAGTGTGAAGGATATCATGTACAACACATTCCTGTGTGGGGTAAAGTCTCAAAGTACTTGGTGATTTAAACTGGTTTGAAATTAAACATCTTGGCCCCGCAGTCCAAAACAATTTTCTACTTATTCCCTCGTTTTCTTCCCACCCAAGATTTTAGAATTAATATTTTTAATCAGATTCTTCCCTTTATGAGCCAAAATACTATTTTGGATCAATTCCAGTCAGGGTTTCCTATCCACAGCTCAGAGATAACAAACGACGCCCTCTGTGCTGGAGATGCTGGTTAATACTCCATCCTTATTGTGTTAGACTTCAGAGCAGCTTTTTACACACTTTGATCACACTATTCTACTCAAGTATCTTTCAAACTGGGTTTTACTCCTTCATCTCAAACAGAAAATTCACTGTTTCCAACGGCAACTTGTTTTCTAGCCAAGGGGTTCCTCAGGGTCCAGTCCTCGGCCCACTAAACTTTAGCATCTACATGTTCCTACTCGGATGAATCATCCAGGCATTTCCTTTCACTGCTATGCTGATGATACTCTGATCTACCTCAGATTCAAAAGTCCAACCAACATAACCCCGTTACAAAACTCTTCACTTATGCAGCATCGCGTGCAAACAATCTTAAAGTTATTTATGACATTTTTAATCAGGCGTTTCTTCACAAACTCTCATCAGGATAAAGTCTGTCTTTATGCTGCCATGTGTGTAGCTTCTTGTTTATCACTGTTGCCATGTTTATGTGGGCAAAATTTCTTGATCTGATTAAAAATCTGAGGGATCAGAAAATCTAAATCCACTTATGCCGGAGTGTTAATAATGAAACCGCCTGTACTGGCCTCAATAAATAAACCAAAGGCTAAAGAGTGAAGATCGAGTCAGGTTAGATAGATAGATTGGAATACGTGTTTACATGGATGCATTTCGGAATAATGATCGGCATAAACCCCTCCTCTCGATCGGAATACAATTTCTTTCCGATTGAGCCGAATTGGATCAGAATCTTCTGATTGACATGATTATAACACGCATTTTTATTCCGATCGGGCCTTTATTCCGATTATTTGTGTCCATGTAAACGCAGCTTACAAGTTCTGGACCAAAAGAAAAGAAGCAAATTTGACCCAACCGAGTTGCTGAAGTACAAAGGCTGGATTAATCCTGTGGTTGTTGTAGAGACTGAATTTAATTGAAATATATTGTTTTCCATTCATCCCTTTAACCAACAATGGAAGTCCTGAACAGTTTGGCAGGACTACAAGCGAGAGACCTTAAAAGGATTCAATTCTTATTTTTAGCAGATTGCTGATACAAAAACTTCCAACACTAATCTCTTAATTGGATTTTACTTCTTTTACGTCGCACCCTGTCAACAACAGACACAACACTTCATGCATTCATGAGTCTGTCTTTCCATTTCTAATCACTCTCAGCTTTTGAAAGTGATAATTGTTGCTTTGTCAGTGATTATAGTGTTCAGAGAAACCGTGTGTGTGTGTGTGTGTGTGTGTTTTCTGTGTTCAAGTTGTCTTGCGTGTCTCTGAGTGTGTGAAAACAAGATGATGCACAAATTGAGTCTCCGGGGGAGCAGATGAAGGCCTCCAGTGCTGGCAGCTGATGTCTCACTGAGAGCTGGACCGTGGATTTTCACCGCACTCATTCACACTATTAACAGAAACCACAGGCCATGCCAACCTACATACCAACTGTGTGACTTTCAAGAGTGCGTTTAACTTCAGCGAACAAGGTTAAAAAAAAAGAAACCTGCAGAGGTCAGACAGACGGCTGAGAACAACAAAATAAATCTTCTCATTTACCAACTGAGGCAGCAAAGCGTTCTGCAGGAGCAAACACAGTCCTGAGAAGAGTTTCCAGAAGGGTGTTTCGCCATGCAGATGGTGGGTGACTTTCATAAAAGCCCTAACAAATGGAGGGAGTAAATGAAATGGACACTTGCTCCCGACCGGAACATCCAGGAGGTTCTACAATCTGGGAGAAAATAGGTTCACATTGAGTTTCACTGGTCCAAAGAAATAATGACACATGAGAAAGTATCCTGCAGCAGCTAACTTTGTTGGTAGTGTGATTCAGAGAGCCTGCAACCCTATAGACTCAATATTAGTCAGACAAGCTTCCCTCCCCCTCTGGGTGTGTGAAAACAACAGATCTATGCTTATTTCTTTACAGCGGCTCCACCACAGCACATAAAAACAGCTTTGAAACCAATACCAGTCCATATTTCTGTTCGGGTTTGAGATGAAAACGAAAGAAGACGAAGGCGTCCTATTTCACTGTGTAAGGTGGTCTGATAATTAATCAGGATTTCAATTAACAAAGTGAAAATGTTTGCATTATCTCTGCCGCTACAGATAAAGCCAGAGAGCAAATTAAACCAGGATCAGCAGTTAGATGTGCATCGGATGGAATGCTAATGGACGATGATAATTACGCTGCTGCAAACTGAGGAACTGTAGAGCGTGTTTATGTGACGAGAACAAAAGAAAGTAGAGAAGGAAAAGCTGCTGACAACAGCAGGGCGAAGAAGATATGTGGTTTAGCTGGACTCCAGGCAGGGTTAATTCCTGTGTTTTTGTTCTTTCCCAAACAGAGAACGGGGATTGGGCGGGTAAATGAAGGTTTTCCATGAGTAGAGGTGTTTTTCGGACCAAACAGAAGTAGGGACATTTTAAAGAGGGGGACTTCCTGGGGAAAAAGATGGGGACTTTTGATCTGTGCGCACTCTCGCTGCTGTGACGACAACCGATATGAACGTAGCAGTGATGTGAGTTTGCTGACAGTTGCTAGATTATTGCAGTATTTAATATTCACCTGTTTATTTGACAGAGACGACTTTTGTCAAATTCTGCAATCGTCTTTTTGATCAAATGTTGACAACATGTGATACGAATGAAAATCTGCAGGACACCATAGAGGGAGTCCTTTGCTGTAGCCTCTATCAACCCGGCTGCTGACTCCTTCGTGTCTGCACTACCATCATATCCTGGCCAGTCTTCACCTGAGGAAAGTGAGGAAAGATCCGCCTTGGTTCTTCATTTTACTTTAGTCTTGTTTAAGTACTTTCATAATCTTATAGCAAACTGGGAGGAAACATTTACAGAGATTTTATTCAATATTTTCCCAAGTCTAAATCACATTGTTTCTCCTCAGTCTCATAAACACTCAATAAAGCCCAGACTTCATTATTGGTCCATTTGTCAGAGCTTTTCACAGTTAAAAAGAGCTTTTACCGACTGTTATTTGCTGTTTATTTGTAAATGTTTACAGTCTAAATTGGTCAGATTGTTCTTCCAATCATCGTTCACTCACTTATGGACGATTCACTGTATACTTACATCATTTAAAGCCACTGTTACTTCTCTGCTGTAGGAGCTAAAACAGTTTCACAAACCGAACAAGTTCAAAGGTCTTGTAGTGTGGGATCAATAAAGATAGTTGGGGTTTTTACAGGTCCTAAAACTACAAACAAAAATCCCCTTCTAACTAGCATGTTTCCATTGTAGCATAACCAGTTAGGGCCTGTGTCCACTGACAGCATTTTCTGCACTGGAAGCAGCTTTTATCTCCACAAAACCAACACAAGCTAACATTTTCCACCATGACTCCATTTGCAGTTTTGTGTTTGAGGATTAAACACACACATACAGTATATGGACCAAATTACCGTGTGTTTACTTTGAAGACCCTCTTGTGTCGAGACAGTAGGAGACTAAAACAGTCTCTACAAACTAAAGTAGTTAGCAGTTCTTGCAGCGCAGGATCAATAAAAAGGGGAATGGTTCTTACAGGTCCTGGGGTCAGATAAGAATAAGAATAAGAATAACTTTATTAATCCCAGAAGGGAAATTCAATTGTCTGTCATCTCATTTGTCATGTCTCTAAAAGTCATCTACTATTTACAGTTGTACAGTCTGATGGCTGTGGGTACAATGATGTCTCATATCAATCATGTTACCATGTTTCCATTCTAGCATGAACAATAAGGGCCTGTGTCCACTGACAGTGTTTATTTTGCAGTAGCAAAACTAGTGAAACCTAGTATTTATCATGCTCAGCATCCAAAGTCCAAAAAGTATCTTTGGTGTCAGCTGTTTTGTTGATTCTGCGACAGGACAGAGACAGGACAGGGTAAAAATCAGAATAACATCAGAGGATACATAAACGATTAAGATCAGGTTTTGAATACCCTGATACTCTTATTTATTATGACTTTATCCTTAACCCTTTTCAACTTATTCTCAAAAATCTCAGTTTCTTTCTCCCTAAATGTTACCCTTGGATCCAAATATAAACATTTACTTCACGCCTTTTTTTAATATCAGTCAATTTTCAGTGTCATAGCACATAAAAAAGCTCACTATGTTGGCCCCGAAATGAAGCTAAGGGTTAGGGAGTAAAGAGCTGTTACTGATAGAATAAAAATAATCAAATAAACTCATCTGAGAGCCGTGTGTTTTACTTAAGCATCACAAACTTTCTGCACCGCTCACTGAGCTGAGTATTGACTAAGCCAATATAGAAATAGTGATTTGTGTGGTGAGCACAGCCTCCAGAAATTTATATCAGCCTCTGTGATCAATACAGAGTTTTAGCTTTATTGCAATCAATAATTCCAAAACAAATGTTCATTAGATCTCATGATAAATTTATGAAATCCAGAAACAATAGCGTATTGATTCCCGTAGAAGTTTTATATTAGACACTTTAATGCGGAACCCTTGTAGCTTTTATAAGCCAATAAAAATTAACGTAACAGACAAAGTTATTACACAATATTCATTGCTTGTATATTCTTTCAGAGCTGTATTAAAGTCTCAAAGCAATTTTATGGAGTACAGCAACACTTGCAAAACAGCGTTTGATAAATTACAGCCTGTGTCTGCACCAAAAGATATCCAATGAAAGCAGAAACAGCTGACATAAAACTCAAAGCAATAACAATGAGGGTGAAAGGCTAAGTGGGGAGGTTTCTCTGCAGCAGACATCTGGTTGACCACGTTGTTGTGCAGATCCAGTCTGCCTGCACCAGCCGATCGATGCCGGCGGATACAGACGATGAGGGAGCAGGGTCCACAGGGAAAAGAGTTGAATCACATGCTCTCGGATCAATACCCGGCAGTGCATTTCACCTCGGTTAAGACACTCGCCCACCGCGGTCTGGAACACACACATCAGACCGGCTTCAAAGAGGCGAGATTTGTGCGGCTCTACTTTTTACTTCTTTTACAAATTCAACATTTAACTTCACTGACATGTTAGGATGTATTTACGGTTGTCTCTGCATGCATCTTTCTAACAAGAGGGAGAAAAGAACAAACTAGGAGGGGCTGGTTATTGAATTCAAGGTGTTTTTTTAGAGAAACGAGTCCATGAGTGTGGATGTTATCTTCAGAGGAACTAATCAATAGAGCCAATCTCACACCCAGGAGGGCTTCACTGCCCCAACATTCACTGACCCTTCTATGTTGCATGCAAAAAAAACCCCTCAGCTTCTTCTTTCTACCCCCTAAAAAAACAAACCATTGCAATAATAAACAACAAAAAAAAGGTTTTGGATCAGAAATCACTTCACACTCTTTACTGTTCTCTAATCCCACCATACTTCCAATACTGTGCTGAGGTCTGGGGCAACAACTACAAAACATCATTACAGCCACTAACCACCATTCAAAAAAGAGCAACACAAGTTATACACAATCTTGGCTATTAGGAACACACACTCTAAAAACACTTGGGTTATTTCTTCAACCAAATTCCTGGGTTGGGTCCTTGTAAGATGCTGGCGGGAAAAGCAAACATGGAACGGCATAACCAAGTAGCCGGTATATAGCCTGGCTGGGCCATCATGTTGCATGAATCACTTGCCATTCCTTCACACAACAGTCTGGACTTCGGCCAATTGGGAGCGTGTATTAGAAATCAGAAAATAACCGGGCCAATCAGTGACTGTGTTTCCACTGTTCCCCGGACAACAGGGAAAGGCAGCCCCTGATTGGTCCATGTGTAGATGGCGACGTCTAACACATGCCGCGGGACTTTTAATTCTGCAGTTGACTTTGCAAAGTCGGCAGAAATCGTTTATATCCACAGAGGACGTCGGATATGTGTGTGCTGTATTAAGTGGATGTAGATTTTGTTTTGTAAGACAGTCATGAACGTACTTTATTTATCGATAAGTATCAGGTACATCTAAACAAGTTGCAAGGAAGCTTTGTGTGGATACTTATTATTTAGGGGTGGGAGGTCACAAGTTATTCTTCTTCTCACTCCTTTTCAAATTTGCATTTCTATGTTTTATGTTTAAATGTTTTGCCTTACTTTTCTTGGTTATTTTTTACATTTCTGGTTTGCATATTCAAAATAAACTTCAATCAATCAATCAATCAATCAAATCAAAAAACCCCGCCTCTGCAGATCTAGTTTGGATTTTCAGCTGACAGTTATTCAAGTCTTCACTTGATTCTGCGAGTTTTTGTTCTGCTCAGCCTCTTCGTTTTTCCTCCGCCTTTGTCTGCGTGAAGAGTCCAGGTTTATCGAGGGAGAAGTTGAAGAGCGATTTTTGAGGGGGTGGGTGTGGGTGAGGAGAATAATGCCAAGAGGTGCATGCACAAAAACACACAATAGCTGTGAACATAAACACACGGATTCTGTCACTTTTTATGTCCTTGAATGACATATTTGAATAGAAAAAAGGGGGCGGGGTCAAAAACAATGCAGTCAAAATATAATGACATCCTGTCACACATCCTTACACAACAACAATCTCATCCACATCAACACAAAACATATCAGTGTTACATAAAACCAGCGCTGCAGTTCAGCCCATCTACCCCCACAGAGGAGGTGCATTATATAGACAAAAGCATGAAGACCAGCCGCTCCAGAGCTTTCCTTTCAGAGTAATTTAAATGTGAGGCCGCCTCGGGGTTCTCCTATACTTTCAAATCAGAGAGGCGGCGTCTAGTTCATGGATGTTGAGTAATCACAAATCCCAGAATCCATCAGGTGTTGTTTCATAACCATACAGCCTCTGAGCGATGGCTTTTCAGGCGTTCCAGTCAAGACAGTGATTCATGACAGGGGTGAGTCCAGCGGGGTGGCCGGGGGAGGCAGGTGCCCCACATGAAATCTGAACAGCCTCTGTGCGTCACATGTGGACCATTTTTAGTTTTGCATTCACATTTGGTTATTTAGGTTCTCATTTTCTTGTGTTTATTTCTGAGTGTTTCATGTCTTGTTTTTTTTTTCTTTCAATCTTAACTTGGTGTTCATTTTCTTTGTGTTGGTTTCCAGGCAGAACTTATTGTGTTGTAACAGAGCCATTTCTCTAAGTGTCCGGCTGACACGAGTTTTAGGCTTTAGAAATTACAGCATAAAAATCAGTAGTCTTATCACTTACGGTCTTTTTTGCCTTTGTAAGTCAGAAAAAGTAAAAAGAGTATTTTTTCTGACTTTTTTAAGAATATCAAGTGTATTTTTTTAAGTACATTATTGCTTGACTCTGGAAAAATGTAAAACATTAATCTTAATTTTTGCTTTTTTGTGCAACTCTTGGTATATTTTTCGAGTCAAAGAGATATACACAACATCAGTAAAAACTTTAATGTTGATAGTTGAAATAAAAAAGTTGCTGCCATAGGAAAAAATAACAATTCCTGCATGGGTTTGTGCCATCCTAGAGAAAATAATCTGGACACTGCCTTGGTTAGCGATAGCATGTCTTTCAGAGCTGTCAGTATCATGAGGAGCGACCTTATAGTCAGATTTAAATAAAGTGAAATTCATTTCTCCAGAAAACGTTTGCAAAATAAACATTATCAAATCACGACTCATTACATCCCCTTTGGAGTGCAAATTTATCTGTTTCTGAAGAGTCCTAGTTTCACTGTAAAAGATAAGTTAAACAGAGACTTAACCCTGGCTTACTGCAGCTTTAAGATCCTCATAAAATAACCTTTTTTTTGCGGTTTGCTTGACAGTAAAAACTTTTTAATTTGT